CGTAAATGCAACAGGGGAAAAAATAGGCAGAAACTATTCGCTCTTAGCGATCGACTTTATATCGACAGACGGGAGTTCTCGCGGAGGAAATTTCGTACTCGTACTCGTTACTCCACGCGACGTTTTATCTTTCTCCTTCCTTCATCGCGGCCATTAATTGGTAATTATTGCATATAAATGTGTAATGTCGTGTATCAAAGGGACGCATTCCCGTTTAATTAAATAAATAAATAATTATAAGCATGTGACATTTACGTTACGTAAATTGCTGACACAGAGCGCGGAGACCGATATACCTCGCGGAGGTATTCCGAAACGAACGAGAGAGTCGATTCGATTATTAATTCACACACTCGCGCATCTTGCATAACAGCTAAATTTCACTGCTCGCACCACGACACAGCTCGCGCGCATTAAATACTTATGGAATCGGCGTGGCTTCCTTGGTGCACCTTAAGAGGACACCGACGGAGAAAAGAGGGTTGAAAGGGCGAGGCGCTTATTAAGTTAGTCTCGGGGATTCCTGAGCGAGCAGGAGGGCGGGAGGACGGGCGGAAGGGCGGACGGGCGAGCGTGTACGCGGCTGTCCAACGTACGAATTATACGATCCACCATCGGTGCGCAACAACCACGAGGAAGACGAAGAAGAAGCTTGGCGAAAGCGACGACGACGACGACGATGACGACGACGACGACGACGACGACGACGATGACGGCGACGACGACAACGACGAAGAAGACGAAGACGCGGCGACGATCGAGCAGAGGTAGAAGACCAAGAAGGGAACGGGCGTAGATGACGACGAAAGATGACGATGACCACGTCGGTGCGCGGCTACGGTCCGGGGTGAAAGTAATAACAGTGAAACACACTTGCGCATGTATACGCGAGGAACCGCGCACACCGACGCCGAAGCCGGCGTGTACGTGACCGGTGCTTAAGCCATTTTTCGATACGACCGGTACTTAGATGCACGCCGAGCCGCCCGCTGGGCCCTCTTTCTCGCGGAGAAGCCACCACCGAAGATGCCGCGTCCTTGAGAAACTCGAGGAGGCCGAGGACGGCACGGTCGGCCGCTACGACGACAGAGAAGCCCGCTCGCTCGTTCGTTCCATCACTCGCTTGCGAGGAGCAGGAGGAGGAAGGGGGGCGACGATAATTGCAGAACGGATCTTACGATCCTCCGTGGGACTCGTGGGCCGATCGTCCGAGACGATCGTCGTTCTTGGCCTCGCGTCTATGCACGTGTATGTGTATGTGTGTGTATAAGTGCGGATAAAAGGGGGCTGAAAGCATCCAGTGAGATACCTCCCATTTTCCTTTCGGCACGAATTCCTCGACTTTCGTCGACGTTGTCGCGAGCAACGGCCATTTTCTCGAACGCTTGCGCAACGTGAGTAGCGATTTTTGCGAGATCACAGCCGAATAGATCCGTGGAGGGAAAAAAGGCTCGAGTTAGACATCGCTGGCTTACGACAAAGTTTGGCAAAATTAGGCGCGATAGGCCACTGCAGCAAACATGGCCCGCGAGGGTATTTTACGCCTCTTTTACATAACAAAGGAGTATTGTTTCCTCAGTTCACGTGCAGTTTGGAAATAGTCCGACGTAATCGCGAGTAACAGTTAGCTCGCTCCGCGAAATTGCAGGGGGGACATTACAATTTGCCTCGCTCGCTTTACAAGTGACCTTTTCGCGGCACGCTAGACTCGAGCGATCATCGTGATCCAAATCTGAAGTCAATAGCGAGTATAAACGCACACTTTTTGCTGCGGAAGGAGAGCGGGCTTTGCGCGAAGAAATAGATGTCGACATGAAACGAGATTTTGAAAACCGGCGTAACACTCCTGCCGCTTCTCCGTAACGAGATATATCGGTTTAGCTATTATCGGTCTGAGTTTGAAAACGCTAACGTTGACGTACGCTGCCATTGTCATGGTAAAACTATTAAACAGTTTACGTTCGTAATCGTTACAGCATGCGCGCAAATAACTGATTACCGTGATAGAGTATGATCGGCACGAGGCACGTTTCAATTGAGAATGATCAAGCTGTTTAACAACCATGTATTACGAGCTATTTTACATCGAGATTACGACTTTTGCGTCTCTCTCCGTCGTGACCGACGGTCCTTCTTCCCCTTCGTTCGGCACGGCCTATTGTGGAGTATGCGCGGTAGCTCGCATTTTCTCCCCGCGATAAGACGAAAGGTGAGGCCGACGCAATCGGGTCGCGTGTATCATCAAATCAAAACGACACGTTAGTGAATTCCATTCGTTAGATCAGAATTCGTGTTAGTGGTGGCGAGGGCGGAGTTGATGACGCTCGTTCGTCACTTATCGCGATTCCGCCAGTCGTCGGCCACCGGCCAGGAATCGGCGGAGTTATTGTTACGCGGCGGTACACCCGGAAATTGTTAGCCGCGCCCGCTATTGATTTACGGATAATATCGTGTTTAGCCGCAACTCATAATAGCATAATTGACGTTTTTAGCGTTTTAAAACATATCGATTTTCTACACCTCGGCCACGGGGAACGATCCTTGCGCCGCATTCCCCGTGAGATGCCGCCGATTAACGCGTCCATCAACGCGGCTCGTGTAGGTGAAAGGGCGCTGAAAGCACGCGGACGAGATACGCGTCGTTCCGCGCCCACGCCGCTGGCCACTTTCATTTCGCGCCGCATCTCCAGCCGTCGTCGCCGACACCGCGTCTCCTCTCCCCGGTGCGAACGCACTCTCGCGCATTCACCCCTTTCCCATACGTGTGGGGCGGTAAACTGTTCCCCGGTTATTCGAAGTGACACGTTCGATGGCAGGAGGGAGAGAGAAAAGCATCACTTATTAGGTGCTATGGGATCAGAAACCCTGCAGAGCGCTACGAGAAAAATGCACAAAGGAAAGGCAATATTTTTGCCAGTGAGAGGGTAATGGTTATAATAAAGCTATTTCATAGAAATGTACAATGTCTCATGTGTATTGTGGAAGGTGAGAATATTTAACCTTAATATTATATGGTGAATTAAATAAGATAACTTGAAAAAAAAAACTTACTCTCTTAAAGTGAATCAGTGCATCACTGATATCAGTTATAAATATAGCACTGAGCACTTTCAGTGCAACACTTATAACTGAAAATCAGTGTATATTCACTGTTTTCAGTGATGTTTCACTGATTCATTTTAAGAGAGTAGTGTATAATATGGCGAGTTGAGTTTAGCCGTGTCAAGGAGAAAGAGACAAAGAGAGAGAGAGAAAGCCGACGCGGACATCGGTGGAGTCAGAGAGCGTCCGGAGGTGCCGTATAAATTCACGATATCGCGCAGTCATCCGGCGATATATAGATACGGGCGGATACGTGTACGTGGGATATACAGCGCGAAAGTTGGAGCGGAAATCGGGTCACGTCGAAATATTTTCTTAGACCTCCTCCTGCTCTTCTCCCCTTTGCTCTCACCTCCGCCACCCCTTGCCGGCACGAATCTTCTTCTTCGTATGCGCGAGGCGCACAAACGTGTGTATGTATATATGTTTATGTGTGTGGGTGTGGATGTGGGTGTGCTGCGTGCGGTGGACCGGAGGACTAAAGTACTTCAGGAACTTCTCGTGTCAGGTGGGTATGCAGAGCACTCGAAGGTGCCTCCTAAAATTACGGACCGCTTTGGCGCTCTGGCCGCGGCGAATTTAAACGAAAAATTCGCATCCATCAAGCGGCTCGTATTGCGATGAAAAAAGAAGAGGGGAAGAGCAAGGGTTGAGGAGAGGAGAGCAGAGAGAAGGGAAGGACCGGAGAGAAATAAATTATAACGGCGATATACCGAAATAGAACGTACGAAAGGCAACAGCGGGGCCGGCATTATCGATTTCGTGACCGCAAATAAAGTCGAGCGTTGGCGCGATCGAGGAAACGTTGTCGCGAACAGCGCGTCGCCAATATAGCAGATAATTTCTCGACCACCATCCGTCCATATCGCTGACAGTCAAAGTTAATCAAATAATTGGTACCACATGTATAGGTATGTGTGTGTGTGTGTGTGTATGTGTGTTGCGTGTGCATGAGCGTATCGAAAATCAGATGTCTACGTACATGACAATTTAAAGTAACTGCGAAACTCGCCGAAGTCTTTCGAAACGCATGTCAAATATCTTATTACAAACATCTTATTTGTTCGCGACGAGAACGAAAGCGCAACAAAATCCACCAACAAGACTTAAAAGAGACAAATCGCGATACCCCGTGAGCGAGATGCTGCAGGCATGCAAACAGCAATATAAAATAATTGCACGGATTTTAATACGATGACGCAATGTAAAGCACGTCGGCTGCGCGATCGCGAAATAAAGATCACAATAAGAAGACCGCGGCGAAAAGGTAAGACGACGCGGCGCTTTATGAAGGATTCCCTCGTGGAGGGACCCGCGTCTTCAATATCTCGGATTAGCTCTTCGTAAATCAATATTCGGCAGAGAATGTCGGGAGAGAGAGAGAGAGAGAGAGAGAGGGGGGGGAGACGAAATTTCGCGTTTTAATATTGTCTTTCCATTATTGACCAGCGCGCGCGTCGTAAAAAGTCATATAAAATTTAACTATTTTTTCCGTGCGTACGTTTTATACGATGCATGGCTTAATATCGGTATTGCACATTCCAATCGATGCGGGGAAGAGAAGGACCGCGATTTTTTAACCCTGCGGCAGAAGGCCAAATATCCGGTCAAGAATACGTAATATGCGCAAGAGTTACGTATGCGCGCGCGTTACATATGAATGAGTCCGATTAACGAAACGGAATAAATAGATCCGATTCTCTTGCTAGTAGTTTTCTGCCCGTTTATCCGTACACATTCGTATCTCGCGACTGCAGATATGGCTGATAAGGTCGTGCGATCACGTCTCTTATTTATTACGTCTTATCGTCGTTAAGGACCGATGAAACTCTTTCCGGCGAGAGGTTCGGAATCATTCCTGGAAGTTCGGCTGTAACGATACACAGCTTTCTACTTACGTATGCCCTTTCAGCACTGTTTCGATCAGGTTTGTCGCTATGGACCAGATGAAAACGGAGCCGTCCGCCGAACCAACTGCTATGTATTGCCCGTCGGGACTAAAAGCAGCTCTTGCGCAATCGAAGCCCACTTTGAAACCATCAGCGCTGTTGAAACAAAAGCGCGAGCGTATCGACGCATTTAATATTTCACTTGCGTATTGCACGCCGAACGAATGGCACACACGGGCTTTGCGTTCACCTACCTGAAAGATCCAACGATCTTCTTCATTCGCAGATCGATCAGCTTCACCGTGTCGTCCCTCACGCAGCTCAGTAGGTAGTTCGCGTCTGAAAACAGGCAGATTCTCGTTTATTCGGCTCGCATCGCAACCAGGCAATCGCGTATAAATTGTGTTCGTTATATTTTATTTCCGTTCGGCGTGCATCTCGATTATTTTGGAAAGCGGAGAAAAAAGAGCCATACCTGTATTTCGTGAATAAAAAGTTACAACCCGCGAGTAAATATTTCGTATGTGCGTCGGGCGTGTTCACAATTATTAATAAAAGCGCCTCTGTAGAATGTATAAGTGACGCGCAGCGCACAATTCGATGCGCGGAAAAATCTAGCGCGACGCAATAAACTTATAAACGCGTTACGTTCGACAAGTGCATCGAAATACGCGCATGTTTGATCGGTTTACATAATTTCTTTCTGTTATTTTGTAAAATATCGCTTCATTTTAACGCGGGAACTCATTTGCGGCCGTGTTTCGGTCTCTCTTTCTCTCTCCCTTTCTCTCTATTTCATAAACGAATGCAGGTAGCGCATTTGTCAAATAATTGCACATTGTAATTGCGCATCGTGATTTTAGGGATGGGGAAGAACGCACGTGTTTGAACGATGCAATGCGATATGCTAGGTGGAATAATAAAAACGTGAGAGAGAGAGAGAGAGAGGGAGATGCTTCCGAAGCGCCATATAAACCGCAGAAAGTCTAAAAATCGGCGCGATGCAGATTCGCCTCACTCAAACGCATCTCGTGTTCCAGCGATATCGAGATTAATGAAATACGATAGAACAATATATCACCGAATGAAGCGCTCTCGAACGAGGAGGATGCACTCGTAGCTGATACAAGTACTTTGAGAATATTGCAGGTTGAGCCAGCTCGAGCGAGCCAATTCATTTGCGTCATTAGAACGCTACGGATAAAAAGCGAAACAGCGTCGTTCGCGCGAAGCGAGATCCGCGAGTGAAATGCATCGCGGGTGCGGTATTAGCCGCCGCGACAAGCCAATTAGTATCTATTTCGATTGTACTAATTGTTGAACGGTTAACCGAGACAGCGCGCTTCATCTGAAATTTATAACGTGCCGCCGTTTGATCGCGCTCTGCGCTGTAATTACAATAATTTCGTTCTCCCGTCACGTTCCAGCTCTTCTCACGCCTCTCAACGCGGTTGATAGCGCGCGAACGTTCATACGGAAAAAAATTGCGCTGGCTACTCGACCCGACCGCGAAAGTGCGATTTCCGATTTGTGGCCAAGCGGTTAGTCGCCAAGCGTTGCGCTTCTCGCGACAATGCGAATGCCATTGCTCCATTAGATTGTTGCGCGCACATTCGATTTAAATAATTAATCTCGTCATGATAATCGCCATTTGTTAGTCCATTTGACGATATCCTTAATCGATACAGCGATACACATGGCGAATTGAACGCCGCCGGATGATACACAGGTCCGGAATTACGCGCTGACGTTACGCTATTATGACATTATACTAATCGTCGAATTAAATTGCATAACGAATTCCCGCGAGACCGGCGAGAGTTACGCGACCTGACTGCGTTCAATTAACATTTAATAAAGCCTCAAATTGATCCGATTATGGTGCGCCGTTATCTCGCACGCCACTATACTTTTTCCTTTTTTTATTAAGATCCCAAGTCCTCCTCTTCCTGCCCTCTTCCCCAGGGATTAACTGCGCGCACGGGGCGGCTAACCCTACTTACCGCGGGATAAATCCAAGGATGTAACTTTCCCCTCCAGTATGATGTCATTTGAGCTGGATTCGGCCCGAGTATCCCAAAACCTGATCCTTTGATCAAAATGACCGCTGATTATCGTGGAGCCAGACCCGTCCGAAGTTACGAGGTCGTTGCAACTGGATCCAGCGAATTTCGTCTCTATGCCTGCAACGTAAAGTTGAGCGGCCTTTAGCGCTAAGGGCTGCGCTCGTGATGCGGGCGAATAGACGATCGTGCCTCACTGTACACGGGTAGAATATTATGGTGGAAATTACGTTAAAATTATATTTTTTTTTACGATATTGATCGTAAAGCTGAACTATGCTGAAATTGTGCAGCACAAATTGCTATAGAGTAGTAAATTTCACGACCTACCTGATATACGATATAAAAAAAAACAAACAACAAGTGATTAAAATGATTAAATGCAGCAAAAGATCAAATATGCATAACAGTTTTAAACAAATCTATGTATATAAAGAATCTCTATCTGTATATTCCGTGTATACTACTAAACCTTTGACCGATCTGCATCAAATTTTGCATAATGTTACTCTCTAGAACTCTGCGGGAAATATAGGTTATCATGAAACATGGATACACCCCATTTCCTCCCTCTGATTTCATCCTCTCGACACTTTGTGTCGACCGAATAGTTTTAGCTAGTGTATAGTAATTTCAGTCGTAATTCTATACGGTTCAAGATTATAGAAAAAAATTGTAATTTTTACTAGAAATATTTTCTCCGTGTAGTCGTTCGTACGTTATTCGACGCCCGTTATTCGCGACGCGTTTGATCGAAGAGTCAACGGGACGATTACGTGCGCGACGATTCGTCACCGGCAGCTGCGAGAAGTCGCAGTTTCGCGGAGGCATAAATGGGTGTGGGGGTATGTCTCGCGTTCGACACATACCGTCCAGAATATATAAAAGCCGTCCTGCAAGGGCGATAACAATACCGCCGAATTAAACGCTCGTCGAAACGAGCATTCCGCGGAATGAGTAACAGAATTACGTCATCGCGAATTGCACGTACGCGCGCCGACTTTAAGTGGAGCGAGTTAACAGTTGTATCGAATGTGAATCACGGCTGGTTTCCCCTTTCAAACTGTAGTTCCAGCCCGGCGGCAGCTTTCATCGATCCCACCACGCTGAAATAAGCAGGATTTCAAACTTAATTTACGTCGGGAAATGACGTTCGCGTCGCCGCGTTTCCGCGAGTCTCTTGGAAATCGCTAGCGCGACGCGGAAACGCCCGGCATCAAGACTGGAAACAGGATAAATTACGAGTTTTCCGCTTACAAACCTCCGCTCTCCCCGAACCCCCTGCACTGACTTTCCTTAACCTTCTCTCCGCCTTTGTGCGATTACGAATCCGCGCCGCTCGCCGCGCCACTTTATTGTGGCTGCGCGTTAAATCAGACGTGATTTACCGCCCGATCGATTAGCCCGTCCAAGTTTCTACGACGCGACGTTACGCTTAACGTCTGATGATGTCCACCGTTTCCATTCCGTAGATGGTATTACGAGCGGCTATTACTCGGGCGCTGCGAGCACTCCCGTCAGCCTGCAGGCCAGCTTCTTAACCAACCGTCCTCAGACGCGTACTCTGTGTACATGGCGAGAGACGCGCGAAATTTCCGATTCGACGAGAAATTCGCCATCCTAATTGAATTTCCGGGCGGATATCAAGCGCCAGTTTTTAACATTAACGCGGCGATAGATGAATTATGTCGCGCGCAATTGTGCGACGTAGCCGCGTGTCATTATATCATTATTATCGTAATTATGCCGCGATATTTAAAATTACGGCTTGTCCACGCCACTAACGTTTTCCATTGTACCGTCCCATTGTACACAACCGCCAGGATTGCGCGCAGCTCCCACGACGCGGAACTATCAAACGCCCCGCCGCAAATACGATTCTCCACGCGCGACGGTTTGCGCGTGGAAAATTTATCGATTATTAAATTCGAACGCGCATCGTTCTTAATTATTACCTCGCCGCGTTCTACGGCTGTGAATTGCGCGCGCGTCATAAAAAGTTGCCGTACAAAGCCGTGACAAATTTCCACGACATCCTAACGATAATTCAAGCTGCATGTGTGTGCGCGCGCGCGCGTGTGGGTGGCCTTTCACGAGATAATGATATCGGGGCCGCATATATCGCGGAAGCGCGCGGAAATCGAATACACGTGCGCAATAATCGTAATCGATAGCGGTAATTCAAATTTTCGGATTGAACGATTCAAAGAGTCAAATGGAATCGTACGAGATACCTCAAGCGTCCAATCGAATTGGACACGAGGCGATGCGCTTCTCTTCTGCTCCCTTTTTTCCTTCTCTTTTCTTTTTTGATATTTCGTAGGTACTCTCGCGGTGTATCGGCCGCCGTTGTATCCGGCCCGTGATGTATAGGTATAGGACGTATACACGTCGATGATATTTGCGCGGAGCGTACACTCAATCCTCGTAGTTCGACACACAAGTTCGGCGCGGAAAGTACTTTACAAGCTTCAAACGCGGTGAGTAGGGCACTTCTCTCTCTGGAAGCAATAAAATTCCTTCCAAAGTGCGTTCGTGCATAAAGAGAAACTTGTCGACAATTCTTGCTTCGCCCCGACGCCGCGCCCTTCTCCTCGGTCGGACACAGTCTTATCAACCGCACAGTGAATGACCGTCCGTTCACGTCGCCCAATAATAGCGAGTCAATAAAACACGCGGCACACACGCGCGGTTAATAAATGTCGGCGTAAAAATCATTTAGCGGCTAAAGCGTATCTCCGCGCGAATGACTTACCGCGCCGGCGGCGGAAATGCACAAAGAGAAAGGGAAAGAGAAACGTTTTACTCGAGTCTCGGGATAATGCGCGAACGTTTCCATTTGATGACTTCAGATTCGTGTCGTAATGATGATGACGCTGAGACAAGAACATCGGCCTGACTTAATCGTCGTCCTGAAAACGCACCTGAGCTGTTACAAGGCGATGTTAATTTCTGATATCATCTAGTCGCGGAGCAATCTTGCCTGGTCGCAAATTCTCGCGCGAAAAACATGACGTTTCCGTGGACGACGTTAACAAGTGTAATGCCTTGCGTGATTTCGTGTTCTTTGCTCCGTTCTGAAACGACGTTCGTTCTCTCACGATGATAATGACAGTGCAGGGTAAGAGAAGCAGACAACTCAATTCTCGCTCGATTAAACAAACCATCGCCCCGTCACATGCGCGGAATCGTGAATCCTCGGAATGGGCGAGACGCTGTTTTATTTTGCGCGATAAAGAGTGCCGTAAAACATTTTTTTTCACGACTTAATTCGCCGCAAAAGTCCTTGATTTTTAATCATAACTTAAGAGACGTGTCGATAACTTTCACATTGCGGAGGCAAGTCTGCTTTTCAGTCTAGTCTCGAGTATCAGTGGTAAAAAGAAGCCGGCAGTTCCGGGACGTCGATAATCCGCGTATAAGCTGCGATAAATCGCGTTTCAATTCAAACAGAAAGTAGAATTTTCCTCTCTCTCTCTCTCTCTCTCTCTCTCTCTCTCTCTCTCTCTCTCTC